GGGGGTGGGGGGCCCCCCCCCCCCCCGCCCCCGCCACCGCCAAAGCCCGAAATTCTTAGACCTGAAGGAGTCACCACTAAATTCCATTCAACTGACAGAAAAGAAATCAAATCCTTTTAAAGAGAGCCCACTTTCCCCACAAGAATGCTCCCTCGGCCTTTTGTTGCAGGGCTTTGCTTTCTCGCAGCGGCTCGGGGGAGCTCGGAGGAAGCCGCTCCAATACATTAACCAGTTTAACTTGCTCGTGACCCCCTCTGCCCAGCGCACAATAAGGCTCCGCTCCCGCTTTTTTCCCCCGGCTCCCTTTCAGGAGCTAAATCCCACGCTGTTCCCCTGCTCGCTGGCTCTCGTACTCAACCTTTCTCAGGCCTCTGCTTCAGCCCCGGGAAATAATAACGCTTTGCATTTCTATAGCCGCCGGCCTCGTGAGATCCCGAAGCGGGCTGCGCACGTCTGCGTCCCCCGAGGGGACCCGCGGTCCCTCGAGGTGCAGGGGGAAAGCTGTCAAGGTCTGAGGCCACGTAGGGCTGGGGCCATTTGCACAAGGTCCTGTAGCAGAGCAGAGCTGGAACAGGACCGGGATGGTGGCCGGGCGGCCGGGGGACACCGGCCTTGGGGGATGTTCCTCCATCGCTGCCACGAAGTCCGTCCCGGGGGGGTCTCCCACGAGCTGCCGGCCCTGGGGTGCGTGCTCCCACGCCGGACGGGGAGGCACGGACACGCTCCTCTCTCCGCAGCCGCCAGGCTGGTGATGCCCGGCTTACAAGAAAAACCAAGCCCTTGCGCTGGCCCTGAGTAGAGGAGTCGCGTTCCCTCGCTCTAACACAATGGGAAGTTAACTAAACCGCGGGACGGAGAGCACAGAAAGCTGCCGTGGGGCGCCGCCGTTTTCCTAGCGGTAATTGATGCAAAGTCGCTTTTGTGCTGTCGGAAAATCCAGGGCAGAAGAAGAAAAGGGGGGGGGGGAGCAGGATCACCTCTCCCCAGTCTCCCTCCTCCAACATCTCTGTCTCGCAGCTAGACTGCACGCCGCCCCAGGCACTGACTCCCCGGCCGTCCGCCAGGGAATCCGGTTAAATGCACGATCGTGGCAGAGCAGGCGTTTGACGGAGCTTTTAACCCCCGTCCGCTGCAGCGCAGCCATCGCTCCGAGCGCACGAGGCAGCTTCGCCCTCCAAGCACAGCGCTTCTCCCCGATGACCTAAACACTTGCTCGCTGGGGATTTATTTGCCAGCTGTGGTAGCCCTGAGAGCCGGTGAGCCTCCGGAGACCACCTAGCGAGCACCGAGGTCAGGCTGCGAGAGCGGGGCTGTGCAGGGGGTTTAAGGCAATTTAAGCCCACCTAACACCGTGTTGCGGCTGACAGGGTGATGATGCCCCGGTGAGTCAGGCCGGCTCAGTGCTCCCATGGAAAACCAGCGTGGGTTACTTTGCAGTGGAAACGAGCTGGTCCGGCTCCTCTGATGGCTGCCCGATTGCTAAGCCTAGGTTCGGGAAGAGGGGAGGCAGTAGGGGGGGAGATGAGGCAGGGCAAATCCGTGAAGTTTGGGGAGGGTCTGGGTGGTGGGTCCTGGTTCAGCCTCATCTCCTGGGGACAGCGCGGGGCGAGGAGACAGCGCCAGGCTGGGCAGCGAGGGGCTGGGGCATGGCCACCCCTGCAGCGACGGGGGGGT